CTAGTATTTTAATAGAAGACTTTTCAAATTATACTAATAATTACTGCAAGATATAATTATTATTAAAATATTTATTTACAAGTATTTCAGTTTGATGCTTGTAAATAGGTGCATAAAACAAATAAGAAACAAAAGTAAAAAATCAGGATTTAGGAAAATCTTTAAAGAAAGAATATCTAAGAAATGAGGGTTTATTTGAAATTTGTTAATAGAAGAATTTATTTTGGATAAACCAATAAAGTTCAATGTACACTGACTCAGAGCTTAAGAGTGTAACTAACTGATACTTTTAAAGTGGATTTTGAAATAACAGAAGAAAAAAAGAAAAGAGAAAATAAGTATAAAATCTAATTGCATCTCCTAAACAAACAAACAAAAGATGTGATGTCTCAATAATGAAAGAGCTTCTGCTTCAATAGATTGAATGCAAAGCTAAGTTGTTTACTTAAAACACTCACACAAATTGGATTCTGTAAAGTAAAAAACAGACCATGTGATGGTGATGTTAATTTGTGTAATACCTCCCATATTGGCCTCCAGAAACAACAGAACTAACCTCTAAGAAAAAGTATATTCTAAAATTTAAGCTTTATTACCTTGAGGGCTGTAGCACCCTTGTCATTCATCTTCTCTGGAATAATCACTGCTTCCTCAACCATGTGTTTAAGAAACAACTCCAGTTTAGGCACAGGAAGTGATTTGATTAATAAAGATAAATGTGACACCAGCATAGTCTGGTCGTCATCCTGGTGAAGAAACATCCAGTTAAACAGAGTGAAACAATTACATTTTTCAATAGTCATATATATATATATATTATTTTCTGATAAAAATCATTATTAACCAAAAATCAAACTACAATTAGATATATAGTTTTTACATGTTTTGAAAGGTAGTATAATATTTTGAATGCACACAATTATCAGAAACTGTTGAAATAATGTAATATATAACATATTCGTAAGATGGAAACCAGAGGTGGCAAATCAAACTACAGCTTAGCAGATTTGATGGCAGCAATACAAGAACAGCAAAAGAAACAAGAAGAAAAAGAAGATAAACAAGAAAAGAGACTACAGCAGTGGTTGGAGGAGAAAGAAAATAAACAAGAAGAAATTCTCCAACAATTGAGAGAAAGCCAGCATACACAAATGGAAAAGATTAGTAAATTTCAAAGTGAATTAAATATATTAAAGGATGATTCAGTGTCTTTTACACAGAGAGGATATATTAACCATGAACATAATCAGCCTCAGACAACAGGAAGCCCCTTCCAGACCCTGCAGTTAAACCCTAATGCAGACATCTTCAGTCCTGCCAGAAGTCACATTAAAGACACGAGTGTCAGCAATAGGGGTGATCTAGCACGAAGGAAGCCACAGGAATTCGATGGGAAGGCACCGTGGGAAGCATTTCGAGCACAATTTGAGATCCTTGCAGAAATGAATGGATGGATAGAGGAGCAGAAAGCAGTGTGCTTGGCAATGAGTCTGAAGGGACAACCACTGGAAATACTTGGACAGTTATCAGCACACGACAGGCACAACTATAGAGCACTAGTAGCTGCTCTAGAACTCAGGTATGGAACTCAAAATCAGTCCGAAGTCTACAGGGCTAGGTTTAGGACAAGAGTCCATGCTAAAGGGGAGAGCCTGCAAGAGCTAGCACAGGATTTGGAAAGTATGGCATACAAGGCCTACCCAACTGCACCACCCAATCTACTCAAGTTGTTGCTGAGGGATCAGTTCGTAGATGCCTTGGACAGTCCACAACTTAAGATACTAGTGAAGCAAGCACACCCCTCTACTATACAG